GGTTGGGTTAGATGGGTTGGGTTAGGTGGATTGGGTTGGGTTGGGTTAGATGGGTTGGGTTGGGTCGGGTCGGGTCAGGTTGGTCTGGGTTGTAATGGGTGTTAGGTAAGGCTCAGTTCTTACCATCAGCACACTGTGCGCAACATTCTCCGTCTGGTATGTACGTATTCACACAGGCTTCTACTGGGTGGCACTGTACTTCAACACATATCGGGATACCATCAGAACACTGGCACTCGGTACAAGGATCAGGCTTGTATGTCTGTCTGTTTTCGATCCTCTGACCCGTGGTTGGGTCGGTACAGAATAGCGCTAAGCAAAGAAACGATAAAGAAAACAAGGTTTATGGTTCATTTTGAGATGTTGGGCATGAAAACTTTCCGCCACTGTTTTGCTTTCTGACAGAAGTGTGTGTTGACTTAATTGAATAATCAACGTGAAGGTGTAAGCAAATACCTGATGCAGTGATCAAATAAGCAAATAACCGATGCAATAATCAATGAAGCAAATACTGTGATGGAAAGATTAATTCATTGAGTGACCAGATCAGACTTGTTGTCTTGGTCCATCTTGTGTGTCGGGTCTCTGCAGCTTACCAGGACATATCGGACAGCATTCACCAGGCGGGGTGACGTGTGCAACCTCGCAGTATATCAACTCGCAGGAAACGGCGCTGCATGCCACCGTTCCATTGTTGCAGCGACAGGTGGAGCAGGGGCCTTCCTTGAAGGTCTCTCCCTGGACGTAGTCTTGACCCTGGTAAGAGCAGGTCATGGGCAGGGGTGGCACCTCAGCTGTGATGACCCCATAAAAGCATAAACATGAGATTAAACGGCTCAGTGATGTGTGAAAGCAAAAAAAATTAAAAAGCTCACTCTGGTGGGATTCGAACCTACAAATCCCCTCCTTAAGGGTGCCCAGACATTTGCTACGGCAAACATTTTCTCTCTCATGATCAAAAAAAGCCCGCCACAAGTCAATGTCCAGGCTAAAAGTCATAGTCTGTCACAGGGATATGAAAAGTTGACCCACAGTGACGCAAATTTTGGCAGTGACAAATGATCGGACTAATGCAAGCAACTGTTGGTCCAGTGCATGTGGCGGGCACCAAATCTGTCGTACGAGTCAAATTTCACAAGCAAATTTATACAAACCAGCAGTGTCTGTAAAGAACTCAATACATATATTCAATTAGGACATGAAAGCGCCTCAAACTAGACAAAACAATTCCAATTCCTTACCGCATTCTGGACAGCATTGACCAGGAACCTGCACGTATTCCAGGCATAAGATTTCACAGACAGTTGCTACACAGTCCACGATGCCAGTCCGGCAGGAACAGGACAGACAAGGCTCTGGGTTCCAAGTATGGCCATCTGGGTACTCCACGTCTCCTTGGGTGCAGGACGTGACTTGGATCGCTGTAGAATTGTCCAGAGGAGAGAGAGAGAGGGAACCAGTTGGAATTGAGTCCATCACAAGTCTCTTCACCCGACTGGTTGTCAGTAACTGGACGAACAACAAGCGTGAATGGGTTGATGACTCAAAGACCCAGTGGACTCGTGATGGATTTTACTGTTACATTCTCCAAACTTTGAAGAACATGGCAAAGTGATGAAATGATAACACCACGTCCTAGTTACTTCAAAGTTGACCAATCGGACTATTGTCTTCAGGTATATAATCAGTGCTCCAAACTAATTGGCAACGACACAGTTCAGAGCACTGATTACATATTATAATTTTGGCTATGTATTCTGATCACGGTGCTACGCAGCCCTTTCATATTTCTAGTATCTTCAGGTCCCTGATTGTCCAAGACATCTGACCGTCCACACTCTCCACACTGAACCAAAGCTAAACATTCCTTCATTATGCTCACTGCAAAAGGTAGTTTCAAGGAGTCCTTCCACTCACCGTCAAAAAATAAATAATAATGTCAGATTTATAAGTACATGTGCACAAACCCACAAAATAATCAACTTTCTAGTTTTACCCCGAAGCACAACCTACATGTTTTTATCAATCAATATAATTTTTCAGGTTATCTGTGACATTTTTACATTATCCTCAATACACATCCAATCCCAAATGTTTTGAAATCCAGGACAAATTGCTACAAGGTCAAATACAGCAATGCAAAGGTCCCATCTCAGAATTATTATTTGTGTCCTTTTTTTTTTAATTACAAGATCCTAAGAGCTGACATCAATCTAGATGAGAAAACTCTTACGTTCACAGTATGGGCAGCATGCCGTCGGATCATCATAAACAATTCTTCCAGGGCAAAGAGGAATGACACATGCAACGACTGCACAGATGACTTGGCTGCTGTCACAGAAGCAGTTGGCGCACGGGTCCGGTTCCCAGTTTTCTCCATGGGCGTAGAGCCGGCCATTCTGGGAGCAGGGCTTGCCTAGGTTCGGCGGCTGATCTGAGAGGGTTAAACCAGAAACAGAAGTCATAGGCGTAAGTGGGACAGGGTACAGTTGACTCTCGTTAATACAAGGGCCTTGAGACTTACTTAATTATCTCGTGTTATCCAAGACCTGTGATCTGAATTCAAGTCACAAGCTTTTCAAATGAATTTGAGCAAATGCATTCCATTGTCATTCTCCTAATTACTTATAGCTGGTCTTGTGACTGGTCTTGTGATTGATCTTGTATCTGGTCTTTTGTCTGAAATGAGTCTGGTGTTGTGACTGGTCATGTGTCCGGTCTTGTGACTGGTCTTGTGGCTGGTCTTGAGCCGAGTCTTGTGTCTGGTCTTGTGTCGGCCCTTGTGTCTGGTCACGTGTCTGCCCTTGTATCTGGTCATGTGTCTGCCTTGTGATTGGTCTTGCAACTAGTCTTGTGACTGGTCTTTTGTCTAGTCTTGTGTCTGGTCTTGTGATGTCTCGAATACAGCACTGCCGTGCATGAGTAGTCACCAACAGAAGCTCAAGCTCACCTGGGCAGGCCATACAGCATTCACCCGGGGTAAGGATTGGGTCCTCACACTCCAGTGGCAGACACTTTGTCTCTGCACAGCTGGTGTAACCGTTGCTGCAGGCACACGTGATGCAGTCATCAAGTTTCCATTCCTGACCGTGGTAGTAGGTCTTGTCGCCTTGTCGGCAAGGCAGGGGCTCCTTTCCTGGATCATCTTTTGAAAACAGACACAAAATGGCCGGCTTTATTCACTGCTCTCGGGTTTCATAAAATTCAAGTGCTTCAATGAGTATTTGAGCACATCGCACTTCAAAATCATTCTATAAAACTGAGTCCAAAAGTGTGACATGTTTGTGCACCTGTTAATCAGGACCTGTGTAATTTGACTTGGAAATATCATGGAAATCGACTTCGCATTATATTTGTTTGACAGGTAATTTGTAGCACTTATTCACACTTGGAAATTACAATATCTGTTCCAAACTTATTATAGTGTCAGATGTGACGGGACTTGAACCAAAATGGAACCTCAAATTCGTAGAATGACCTTTCACATACACCCTGGTCTATTTTTTATAATGCCATTAAAGAGAGGGCGCTCTATGTCTTACTGTTCCTACAAGATAACACCCTGTCATAGACAAAGCATGGGTACTCACTACAGGGGACAACACACTGAACACTGGGGACCTCTGTCCTCAGTGGCAGAAATGTCCAAAACTTCGGTCAGGTTTGGGTGTTGTCAAACAACAGAAGGTTCAGGCAACTTGCAAAGATTCCTGTGAGTGTCTCACATCTCAATCCTACCTTTGCATCGTGGGCAACAATCTGTCTCTCCTTGAACCTTCTCTGTGCAATTCAGCGGAGTGCAGGGGATGCCCTCGCAGTTGATATCTCCCTCAGTGCAAGTGCATTGGAGGCAATTGCTTTCAAACCAGGTGTCTCCGTTCTTGTAGCCACCACAATTCCTGAGTTCCTCCGGTGTGGCTAATCACAGAATAAAAGTACATTTTATACAAAGTAATGACATATGTCAACACAAAAGTTGAAAACCTGGTATCAGAAATTGTTATTTATGATCTTATTGGTCATTCTTTAATGACGTTATTTAGACAAAGGTGAAACTTCCTGACAAATAAGTATGTGGGGATATGAAATACACATGAAAGCATCTTTAAACTACAATAAACAAAAAAATTACCAAATGATTTGTAAAGCAGAAAAGATATATTTATTAATTTCATAAATGACTTCAGTAACCTAAAGAATACAGAATATAAACTCTGGAACACAGGTGACAGTCAAATTGGTTCAATACGAGAAATCAATTTTAAAGTTCTGGAAAAGAACTGAAATGCCTATCCTGTCTTTTTTCTAACAGCCGCTCTTTCAGTTTTAGTTTTGATAAGACTAACGTACCTGGGCACTGGCAGCCGAAGAACTCACAGGAGATACTTCCGTCATCGCAATGGCAGTTGACACAATCACTTATGGCCCAGGTAGAGCCACTATCCCTGGTCACGCCCTCGTAAACGCACTGTCCAAGCTCCTCAACTATTAGAAAATTATGACAAATATCATGAAAACGACTCACAAAGAATAAGTATTTCGGAGACAATTCGAATATAACAAAGATTTGACATTTCAATGAGGGCATTATAGCCAAAGATGAAAACGAAGCCAAGGTTTCTGAAAAATGACGACGTACTCACCCAGACACTGAGGGCAGCATTCGCCTTCCACTGGCCTGGTCTCGGCACAGTCTAGTAGCGGACACTGCAGAGTGACACAGTCACTGTGTCCGGAGTGGCAGGTGCAGGTTGTGCAGGGATCTGGGTTCCACTGCTCCCCGTCTTGATAGTCTCTCATGTTGACCTCATCCCTACAGGTCACGCTCTGCGGTGGGGGTGGGCCTAAGATATCACATGACCAAAACAAGTGCATTTTACCTTGTCGATTTAAGCATATGAAATGACAACATTTCACAGGAAATGTTTCGGACTCGGAGTTTTATGGCATAAATCAGAGATGGATATTCCACACCACTTATTTTTGCTTTGTGGAATGGAACATTCTGTTATTTTATGAATGAAGTTATTGCAATGTATGAATGTGATCTCAACAAATCCTGAATCTGTCCTTAAAATCACATCTTTTGTAACAGTTACATTGCAGTGCCATATAGCGCCGCCATAATATGACCATGCAATGGAACTTCTATTTACTGTGGGATGGAATGTCTTTCTTTTGCAGTGCAACAATGGCCTACATCGGCAGAAATGATTCACTGATATATGATCAACAGCCCATCCACAAGATGACAGGGATTGGTTTAGGCATTGCATTAACCGCGCATGACATCTGAGAATTAGTTTTCAATTCCATTTTTTTTTCTTTCCAAATCACAGGAAGTCACTTACAATTGACCGCTTGGCAACTGGTAAAGATGTCAGGGTTGGGCTCAGGGACCATTGTAAATTCAGGATTGGGATTGTCCCCTTTGTCGAACACCGCGCAAATCTCTTCGATGTCTTCGCATCGCCTGTCAGTCAAGTCCAAGTTATACTTCAGCCGGTTAAATATCAGTTTGTCTCCATTCCTGAGGGAAACAAGACAATTGACAGACATCTTTAGATCACAAATCTTGACCGATTCAGCTTTCCGTCTGTCAATATTCAAGCAGAAACTTCTTCCCAAATTTCAACAGGATAGATAGACCAATCTGAAGCTGCTGTGACAAAATACCTGATTCAGACGTGAACAAAAAATATTAGAAATTAAGAACTGATTACAAAAATTATGGGGAAAAATTGTTTCTGGTAACTGGGGTTATTTGAGGGAAGGGACTTACTCAAGCTTCTTGTTGGACTTTCTCTTGTCCAGGATCTGCTCGCTTGCCGAGATCTCGCCTCCGCCAGCTTCTGCCTTCATCTTGGTGTACATGCCCACTTTCCAAAGGTTACTGCCATAGAACTCAGCACTGCTGCGATTGAAATCGTAGCCCACGTCCACCCTGAGGACTATCTGGTTGCTCTTGTGGCTGATGATAGAGCCACTGCCTGACCCCAAGCTATAGCTGACTTGGTTGACAAAGAGTCGCTGGGCTGTCGGTCCAAAAAATCGTGGCTAAATTACAGCTTGTGTTAAATTGTTGTTGGAAGGGGAGGGATTCAAAATGGAAAACCCACCTGTTTCTCCTGAATGAAATTGACTGGACATTGTTCAATTTAAAATAACATTTATCATTGGCAAAAGTGTACAAATAATATTTTCGGGGGTGGGGAAAGCAAACTTGTTTTGGGGAGGGACACAAAATTTAGACATTTTGTTATGCAAGCCTGTATGGCCTTATATGGCCTGAGAGGTCAGGCTACATGTGTTCGGCCTTTTACACACTTTTGGAAGGGAAATGATACAGACTGAAAAATAACCTTGGACCTATTGGCTCCCCGATCTGCCCTTGAAATTGAAAATGGCCCAAAGGGGAAACCGCCACAAAGTGGCCATAAAAGGAATATTAATTTGTCTCAAATTTTCTACTTCTATATCCAAAACGTGAACACAAATACACATTTTATTTCCATGAAAGGGGAGATTAACATAGCTACAATGTATGTCATCGGACATGAACATTTCTTAACCTCCTTGCTTTCAATGGTTACTGCATGTTTTCGGTAACTTAACTGTGAGCCAAAGAAATGTAAAGTTTCAACAAAACAGGTCATAGAGCATGAAAGTGATTCAAAGTTCCTGGACATGCTAGAATGTCTATGCCTATGATAATGCATACTTACGTGGGCAGCTGTGACAGCAAACACCAGCTTTCTTAATTGGGATCTTGCATTTGATGGGAAGGCACTGTTTATATTCACAGGTACCTGTGCCGTCCCTGCAGGTGCAGTAGGAACAGGGAGTGAGGTCCCATTGTACGCCGTCATCGTACATCTTGCCTTCGATGTTGCACTGTCGACCACCACCTGAAATAAAATGTAGGCAATGGTTCTCACATTTAATAAATCAGAACTGACCAATCTATCTAGCAGAGACTTTGGCTTTCTGTTTGAGGATTTCCATATTTTCCTGACAGGTCTGTCAACCGTGCAGGGACTTTTGGACTTCAGCATACTGTAAATGTAATCATGCTGCTGTGGATTCAACACGAGGCACGAGCTGACATTGTGGCCTATTCAAAGTCATGAAGGTGGGAAAAAAGTCAATGTGGTCCAGTCTTGCCAGTCCAAGATCAGAAAAACTATGTCAAATTATAAACATGGACTCAATAAACACGAACGTCCATGCTACTGCCACAGTCATGCATGACACTTTGATAGTTTGCTCCTAACTACTTTTTTGAAGAGTTCCATATTCAAACTTCACTTGACATCCGATCCCGTGCACAAACCAGTAATGAGACTGGTCTAAAATATTCAAAGTGTTTTCTGAGTAAATGGATCAACATTTTCAATGTTAAATTGACCTCAGGATGTGTTATCAGGCTGGCTATACTGCTACTATGCTATGCATGCTGCAAAGTGCCAAGGGAAATGACGCCGTAACCTCTAGGAGGATCTATGGCAATTTTATTGACTTGACTTGTATGATAATGTCCATCCACTCCAGTGCAGTGACGTCCTCATATCCGAACTCTTACCTCAGCCAAGACACAACACAACACAAAGCTACATAAAAGCAACGTAAATACTCTTACATTCAGGAATTTATGTACTTTGCTACAATTTTCTTTCCAATACAGCAAAACACAAGAACATTTTAGGACTTGTGTAAGCGAATTTGTCACTCTCGAGTTGCGAGTTGAATTTCCAGCCAACTTTCAGTGGCAGCGCCCTCTATAGTTTCAAGACCACAAACACGCATCATTCATTCCATCGAGTGAGTGTTCAAGAGAATAGGCACCCCACCGAAAGATTGGTCTTTCTCTTTATTTCTGTCGATCCTTTATTTTCTAAGCTTAATCCGTTTTACCTAACAGTTGGTTGTGTGAATAGACATTGACACAAACCAAATGTATACTTGAAAACAAGATCTTACAAAGGATCCCGCCACTTCAATTTCATGGTCGTATGTATAAAATACCTATTTTGGTTATCATTGCTCCTAATTTCGATCAATTTACAGTAATGCAGCAAACATTTCCTTCCGATAACCCCAGCTCCTCAGTAATACCGCACGGCGAGCAAATTCTCCCGGGATTGCAATTTTTTAAATTACACAACAGTCTGGGGAACCCAATGTACTCCCCTACGGGAAATTACATGTATTTTATTACCAGTCTTCTGAGAAGACTAGTCTTCGTGCCTATTTTGAGCTTGAACCAGTTGATGTCAAACTCTACTTCCCTTTGAGAAAAGTTCTCCAGAGCGGCTAACATAGCCTTTATTCAAGCCGGGTGTCCCTAGTGTGTTAAAAGGTTCCCTAGCGAGATGTGGCTGAAGTCGTTTTGTTGGAGGATGAGATACAGAATATTATAAGAAATTACCTCCTGCAACTTCCCCGCTTCCAGTGACCTCACCGCCTCCTGTGACATCACCGCCTCCCAAGATCTCACCTACAACCTCGTCTAAAATCAAAGGGGTTCCTGTAGCTACGAAAAAGCCAAAACAAAATACAAACAACAAAGTGAGCTTTTCAGTTGCACCCGGTGCCTTTCCCTCCTCAAGAAAACCTGTTTTGACATCTTTTTTTGTGTGAGCTGGAGAGGGCGCTGTGGCAATGAACAAGATGCGCCTTGTTGCATTTAAATAATGACAAGTGGCCGACCACAACGTGGGCGTTTAATTGATGTGGAAATTTGGCCCCCCTTAAAGCGGTGTTTTCCCTTGGCCAAGACACCCACGGCGGCCCTTGATATACCGTTGAGGCTTGGTGTTCAGGGAACTTGCATTCAACTTAGGACGCACTTACCTTGACAGACGTAGGAATATTCGCCATCCACACAAGTTTCACCCACACCGCACGGGTTATCGAGGCATTCATCTCCATCTGTTTGTGGAAAACAAAAATTCACATCAGTAAACCTGCATTTTCTTATTCAAAACACATGAAAAAAATAAACACCTGGCCATTGGGCTGTCTCGAACCAGCAGGAAGTCTTTGTAGAAGTTATCACCGACGATTCTTTTAAAAAAGTAGCTCTCTTATTGTGTTTGAGGCTACTAACATGCTGGATCGAACGCGGGACCCTAGTACAGGTGAATACCACTCACCTATTCTCCAGCTGATGTTGAAACCTCGATTAGCCCGGTTGAAATCGGAATAGAAATTGAACCAGACTCGGTCTCCGGTCAGGGTGAGGGTCTCGGGCAACGTCTGGTAAACCTCTTGATCGTACAGGTATTCGTAGCCGTCGACGTCCACCAGGGACCCAGTCCCGATAGTGAGCTCGTCTTTGCCCTTTTCGAATGACAAGTCGTGGAGAGTCAACTCGAACTTTTTGGCGTCCACGCTGCCGATGAAGTAGGGGCAGGCCTGAGACACTGGATAGTTGGCTGGATAGTTTTGTGAGGCGAAGTTGCCAGCCTTCTGACCGTAGAAGTTTCGGTTTGGAACTGAGCACGAGTATCGTTGCCCTATATAGGGAGAAAAGGGGGTTGGTTTATTGAGGAACTTCGCAGCTTTAGAAAAGATACGCAACATAGTTATTAACACAAAGTTCTATCGTATGGAATTTTGGAATGTGCATGGCTGACGCAGCAACGTCGTTTACTTTGCCACCTATACATGGTTGAGATACCAACCTCCCGAGCGACAGATAACAAAATATAACTTCTTGGTCAATGTTTCAACAGCCAGACCTGTCATCGCCAAACGGCATCGCAAGGCCATCCTAGAACTCCACCATAATCAGTAAAGTAAGCATACACCTTTTTCTGTTTTTAACTACTACCTCACATTGTGTTTCGAGTAGTTTCCTGGCAACAACGGCCAGGTTTCCTGTACTTACCCTGCGCATAACCCATTTTAAATCTTCAACAGACTCATAAAATTTACTCACAACAGTGGACTAACCATAATCTGACACAGACGAAGAAAAATACTTGGATCATCCCTGTTTCATGTTATTTTGTTCGTAGTGGGGAGTTCATACCCGGAATGGAAGTTTTGGAAAGGCAACCTAGGTTGCTCGGGGTGGGTCCGGGTGAAGAGCGTCTTCTCCTGTGTTTTTGTTTTTGTTTTTTTAAGAGAGAGAGAGATTCTAAGTGAATTCATTGGAAACATTAAGTGTTACTTACGGTTGAATTTGTCACAGAAGTCTCCCTCGTAATTGGGGGTACAATGACAGTAAGGTGTAACTCCGTCTGGCTTCAGAAAGCAAGCCGTGCTGTGGTCCCCGCAGGGATTATCTGGGCATTCTGTTGCGTGGGGGAAAAAAACATCACTTGAGTCGTTTATTGTTGATGATTTCTGCTCATATAGCTCATAAAGCACAATTAAGCACATTAATTTTACGTATAAATACCTGTAGGAGACGCACACTGAGCACTGCAACTCCAAAACTAATAGGCCCAAATCAATGAGCGAACTTATCGTGCGCATGCGTGGAATAATCACAGAATAATGTAGACCCTGAGTTACCGCGGCCTATTTGCAACGAGACATCAGCTCGCGTCCCTGGATTAGGTTGACTTTATGCCAGCGAGTCTTCCTGCTATTGTTGTCTTATCGTAGTTGGCACAACTATCACACTAGCCACCCTCCAGGGCATGCCGCAGTGACCCGAGCAATTATCTTCAGTTCTTACAAGGACGGTCTGTACTTTGACTACTGGAATCAAGCCTACGCAGACAGCTGTGGTCATTAATTATGCAGGTACAACATTTAAGATTTTCAAAATAACTCCCTAACAAGTGAAATGTACTTCCGTGTAGTGTGGATTCTCTTCTGAACGTGAACGCCACACAAAGGTGTCATTGTAGCGTCATTTTCTCTGGTCTCTGCAGTGAACATTCTGTAACTTTTATTTTGACTTCCATCCTTTATTCCTCAGCTGATCTTTTGGGTTTGGGTTTTCATTTTGAAATGAGAAGCATTAGATTCTACTTGAATGCTTTAAACATTGTGGAACTCCGTTCAATTTCCGCTTGAACTGCACCGCGACGTTATCTCTTGCCTTGAACTGTTCCACTTTTTACGAACGGGAGCAATTCCAAAGGGACAATCTATACCTGAGGAGGAAGTGGTCACCACTCTGAGAGAAATTATGGCCGTTATAGAACTACCGGGATTTCCTCCAGGCTTCAGATCTTTGACGCTTAGTGATTCTAGTAATTGATCAATCTGCATTTCGTTAGTTACACGTTGATCATTTTTATTTTTCAGAATACTACAAAGCTCTCATCAAATTTGTTAATTGATAATTTCAGTTTTCTCTCTCTATCGAGGACATCTGAGGAATTAACTAGGGAAACTAACACTTCTACAGACAATTTCAAAACCAACAATCTCTCCGACAGTTCGAATTGCACAAATTAGTTTTCCATCCATCAAAAACTAGCTAGTATTTTGACTGATTTGCCACGTGGTAGTACCACGGACGCGACATTATTTATTGATACGGGCTTGGGGTTGATGAAGCGTAACAAACAAATCAAACAGAATTTAATTTTACACCCTGATCAGAGTCTCAAACTGCGAACAAAAAGGCAACTCGAGCTGAACAGGTAACTACCACAATAGTGAAATTGGACCACTAGAATTAGAAACCATTGCTGCGGTGGCACAATACTCGTGGACAGATGGTACGCGCGCGTTACATGCGTCTTCGGCCAATCCGGTTCGTAAGGGTGACGTCACTTCAGTTTAAACCACAACCCTATGTGCACTGCACATAGGGTTACATGCATTGTACGCCGTTTATGTGGAACCATGGAACCGGAAGTTAACGCACAACTTCTGCGATCGTCCAATGGGAGCCTGCATATTGTGGCGCGTCCGCCTTTGTGACCAAGTCACTTACAAAACCGGATAGGGTGTAGCAATTTCCTAAATGCGCGCGCGTCATGCTGAAGAATGTGCGTGTGAGCGGTGCAATGGACCTTTCCCATAAAATATGCAAATAAGGCAGGCGCATGCGCATTACTACCACTGGTTGGCGCGTCACTACCGCCGTTTCTGTGCGAGCGTAGTTTCACATGAGTGCCAAACTTAAAGACAGGGAACTGTTACTTTCCAACCTCAGGACACTGAACACTTCTCTTAGTTTCGAGAAAAGCGTCCTCTAGTATCGTGCAAAGGCTGTTATATTGTTTTGATTGACCCGTCAACGCTACAAGTTATGGTTACTAGCAGCTCGCCTACGCTACCGACAGTGTTGACGGCTGCACTTGCCAACCAGTGGTAGTAGCGCGCATGTGCCCGTCCAATTTGCATATTTCATGGGAAAGGTCCAATTATGGTGTTTAAATTAATCAGATAAATCTGTAGATGCTTTTTTCGCTTTGCCTCTCGGGAAGTTTAAAAATCATTTTCTCTTGTAGCCAAAAAGGCCTAAAGTTGGCCTCTTTAATCCAGATCAGTGGTATTTTCATTCAAAAAGAATTGTTAGCATAAACTTCCAATTTTTGTGATGACATAATAAAACTTAATAAAAACACAGGTAAATACTTTCATATCGAAAGTTATAACTCACCTTGCAGTTGGCCGCTTACGAGCGCGCCGAAGCACAAAAGAGACGCGACAAAAAGAAGCGACATTCTGGAAGCGCTCCTTTAAGGTGGGCTACGGAGGGCTCGTTGGTGCAAAAAGTTGGATTCCCCAAGAAGCTGAACGCCAAGAGACCTCAAACTCCCCCTAGAAAATTCACCAGGGAGGAACAGACTGGAAAAAAGTCACCCTGAAGCGTCTGCTATACCTAGCCACGCTAAGGGTGTCCTGGTACCACTCGGGGCCTCCTTTTTAAACGGTCGTTACGTCTCGACCGGCTGACATTTTCCGACCAATCACAGCCGTCTGGGCGTATGGGCGTTGTTTCAATCGACGTTTCTGATTGGTCGAAGCTATGGACATCCTCTTTAGGGTGCGAGTGACTTCAGAAGTAGGCCTACTTTTTTGGGCGGACGGGTGTTGTAAGGAGCAAACTGGGCGATGTCAATCGATATAGGTTACAAGAGAATTAACCTTTAATAGGTCCTACGTGTTTTAATTATTGTTACCCGGAATATCAACATGACGGTAATTTATACAATTTAACGGAAAACGAATTTTAGAGAGAAATACAGTCCTGCTTATATTTCGTTCCTTTGCCTTGTTTTCTTTGTCCCTGAAGCGTGGAGTCTCTTTCTCCCGACTTTTACGTTATTTTAGTCTTTTCCTTTTTTCTTTCATTTTCATTCCTTTCTTCTTCTTCTGTCAAACTAGCGTCGTATATTTCCTTGTCTGTTGATATCCTCCGGGCTTTTACCAACTGCAGAAATAGGCCTCCTGAAAGTTGATGGGTCTTTTTCGTGTAATTTTGTTTTCGAATCTCTTTGTATCATATGCAAATAACGTGTCGGTGTACAGAGGATTTAACCACAGCTTTTGTTCGCATGGCGTTACCATCTGGTCCGGATCGAGAAATGGAGCCGAGTTCAGATGGAAGTTCGTCCGGGTGAAGGTTTTTTGTTGCGTTTAGTCGTAACCTCCCAGCAACCTTGGATCACTTGCCCCAAAGCCTTGTCGAGTGAAATTGCCCATTTACACCCGCTTGATATACATCTAATTAATCAAGATTTATAACGGTGCAGCCTAGGTTCACCCGAATTGGCGTGTTGCAGAGTAGGATGGCGCAAAAAGATTTATGGGACTGGGTTTATCATCCTGGTCAGCGTGGTGTGTGAGTGCGGGGAAAATTGCAGGAGCAATTTCGTAGCTAGTCTTGGTGGAAGATGCTTTGTAATGAATCGTAACTCATTGCCGAAAGACATCTCTGTCACCTACGACCCGCCTTCGTGCATGAAAACAAGGGCTGGTGGTTGTTTGCTCTGGTGCGATCCATGGCAAACAAAAGCGTCTTGTACCGAGACTAATCATGTAGCAATCATGGTCATCATCCACGGCTCAGCGGTGAAAGGTTCACGGTCGGCTGGCCACTGGCCTCGGGTCAAAGTAGAAGGTTTTAGGTTTCCCCAGGGAAGCCCTCTGAATGGTGTTAAGTCTATTTTTCACGGTCTTAACGACCTTGTGAAATGGGAGCGAATCTAAATAGCAGTTGGACCTATATAGGTCAGTTTAGATGGCTGGAATTCGCATTGAAAATTTCATCGTCAAGGTTGCTTTAGTGGAAATTAATCTTTTTTTTTTTTACGATTGGTACCCTAAATTCCACGATCATGCTCTATCACCCCAACCAATCTAAGCCTCACAGAAGCAGTGTATTCCCTCTTTAACCCTAACCCTCCTCAATCCTTCGCCTGTTGGAGGACTGAGGAGGGTTAGGGTTAATCCTGCCAAACAAACTTATTGGGAGCCTTTATTAATCAAAATCTGTCAAGCAATTGTGTCTCTTTATTTGCTTCAAATTTAACTGTAAGTAATCTTGTGCTGGAGGCTTATCCTGACGATTGATGACTTTTGCTGCCAAGTCCGATCATGGATCAGCCAAGTCACATGAGGCGTGGACCTGTCGACCAATGCGGAGAGAGACCGCCGGGAAATGAACTTGCGTGCTACCCGGCCCACTAGGTGGCACTGATGGATAAGGTCGCTGTGCCCGGACTGGTCTCTGCTCAGTGTTCCTTCATTCCCTCCTCAAATTTTCTTTTAGTCTTTAAATTTGGTCTTAATCTTGAATAGAGAGCCTACAAGAGAAAGTACCCCCTCCAAAAGGAAGGCAGGATCGGTACCACAAGTCCAGGCTCCTATATAGAGAATGATTCAACTCCTTCACTGAAATACAATCGAGTAATCTACTCTATTTTCTTCTGTACCTTTAAACTCTTATCTGTTCCCCCTTTACTCTGGTTTTGAAAGGCACCCGAAAGTTTCCTTTGTCTGCTGTCTTTCGAACATAATGTTGAAGGCACATTGTCTGCTCTTGACCTAAACTTTTGCCTCAGCGACAGGTCACTGGAGTCAGTGCTGCACCAGAATGCCAGAACATTTAAAGCGTCAACGATTAAATAACAAAGTTCGTGCAAGTTCCCTTCTCTTTTGCAACAGCGGAAGAGCGGTGGTGTGATGTTGGAGTCTCATTCGACATCCGAAGGCCCAAAACGAATGCGAAACAATGCACAGTGTGACCTACTTGCAAGAAAACCAGACAGACAGATAAACAGATTTTTTTTTATTGCCTTGAGGTGAACAATTGAACGGAATTATTAAAGGTCTGATGGAAGCGATGGAAGACCAACAGTCAAGGTGTCAGAACCAGAAAAACACACTTCCTGGTTTTAAAGGGTAAAATAACCAAAGTGAAGGCACTTAACACTATTGCAGATTAGAGAAAGATAGCCATCGGATGTGCATGCTGTCTGCTTGTACACGTAAATGCCCCGTAAGGCGACAAAAATCAAGCCTTGTAAAGAGGCTAAGACATAAGGCGTCGACGGGCCCCAATGTAGACCTTATATAATGTTACTACTCAACCAAAAAGCTGTAGTATGTTTGACAGCACGAGCAAAGCTTTTTGGTTGTAATTTAAATTATTGCATTTTTCTATTTACTACCCAACAGCCATGAGCTGCTAAATTGTCACGAGGCTGACCGTGAAGCAGCAGGGAAGTTTCGTTTTGTTCTTGTACTTTTGATTTCGGAGCTTGACTCAGCCAAACAAGATGGCGTCGATTCTGCGACTATACCATTAATAACGGAGTTAACACGTGGCGGATGCAAGAACGCTATTCAGGGCAACGATACCTAAATTGTACTTTTATACGATCACGAAATCAATATTTTTTTTGGGGGGGGCGCAGTTTAAGGTCGAGAAAATGGTGAGGTACATGAACATAAACCAGGCACCTCGTGCCTTGCCAGCGCCGGACGGAAGCTGCCGTTTTTGAGGACCTAAATGATCTCAAATGTACATGTGTATTTACGCGATGACATTTGCATTGACATTAAGTTGACATGGGTGCATTTACGACGGAATCTCGTCATTTTGTAAATTTGTGCCAAGCAACAGTGACCTTGAATCTTTTTACAAGTTCAAATGTCATGTTATCCAGCCTAAAACACGGCTACAAGCAGTACTGTGCATTAGCGCCAACTGGAACAGTCCCTGTTTTGTATGGTGGCCTTGCGGGGACATGTTTCTACGAAATCTGATTGCTTTACCGTCGGTATTTTTCGCGATGCCAAAATTTCCCTCAAGGGCCATTATAGGCTCTGTTAGTACACACATATTAATTTTATAACGCACCGACGCGTCGGCAATACAGTGTGAGGGCTTTACATCTTCGTTACTTTTCTGATGTTTACCAAGAAGAACGACAACCCATAAACATCACGGACTATGCCGACTTCGCGGGGGCCAATCATGTTGTTGTTTGTTTTTTTCTAGTACCGGTATAAGTCCACAAGGTCCCGGTATGGAGTGCAAACTCCCTACATTAAACAAGACAGTGATCCCCGTCACGTATCCTTGTCTGTCCGCAACAAACAAACAAAAAATGGCGATTCAACAAAACCACCATCCGCATTAAAAAAAATAAAACCGTCCTTTGGTCAAAGCGTACCTCTTAGAACCGTGCACCATATCTTGGTGACCGCTGCATGAGGAGGCGTGCGCCACATCTAAAACAATGATTCTTTTTTTCACTTGTCAAAAAAGCAAGACGTATACTGCTTTCCATTAACGACAGAGATGTGCTTTCCTTAGGACATGATATCGAAATCTTCTGTAGATGGGCGCCAAAAAACATGTCACCTAGACGCAAAACGAGCCGAACTTTTAGACACACCATTGCCGATGCATAATGATTTTTTAAAATACTTTTCGGGCTGTTAGGTGGTCGGATCCTATTTTCTTTTATCTGAATATAAATTTCAAATATTGAAAAAAATGAAAGTATGGATAATTTTTATACTTTGAAAATAGTGCAATTATCATCTACTGGACTTGTTCATCATCTGATCAATTTGGTTGCCCGCACTGTGGGACATGTCTCCCCACAGGTTAACGAAATTCAACTGACATTTCAGGTCATTCTACTGCCCAGTACTTTTCCACCAACTTTTCCATCGTGACACGATTTTGATTATGCAAGCATCAAACTTTTGGATTAATGGGTTTCCTTGGGTGCCTTTTTTCCTATCCGTATTAGACTAGCTCCTTTTATTTCGCAACTACCATTTTCACGGTCAGCCTGTAGGCAGGGCAGGGAGGCCAAGGGTAGGCCTGGGCGGCGAGATAGGTATCACTCCGAGTCACACGGCCGATGTAAGGCTTGGGCACCAGGGATCATTTTGATTTGATTATCAGGAGTGATTTGGGTTTGATTATAACTATTAAGCCTACTAGTTTTGCCCAGAAAGCTAACATTGTCCCAATGCTCTTCATTAAAATACTTCTGACAATTTAATTGATTACAACATGTACCTTAAGAATTATATCGCGCCACCAAGGCTACTTTCTGCATTTGTGCAACATCAATCAATCCTCAGCAACAACAAAATCATGTGGTCTCCTTGATTATTCGAGGTTTTCGGACGTTGCAGAGATCTATTTATTTAACTTACAAATTGGCCCTTTTGCAATGTCCTTCAAAGCTCAAAGATGGAGAGCTAAAATCTGAGGTTAAAAAATTACAATGCACTTCCAAACTCAAGCTGACAAAATAATCCTTGGGAGTCAAGAAATCAACTCTTCGTTCTTCTCCATCAAGGTGCGACTTCCCTGGGGTGACCTTTTAATCTGACCCTTGAACTATCAAA